GAGATTCCTCTTTTCATTAACTAATGATAAATCAATCCCTTGGATCCAGGTGCTTTATGGCAATCACATGGCCCAAAATATGGGTACTATGCTTGTGTGAGCAGCCATTCTTCTGGGTACATGGCTTGTAGGCTGGGCACTTGTAAACGATGACAATACTCTATACCTCCTCTATGCAATTTTAATTTCTCTTTTGTCATTTTCCAGTGTCCATATTTGTCATTTGATTTGCTTTATCCAAATGGTAATTTGGATAAAGCAAATGGTAATGGTAACATCTTGTCATTTCTGTGATTAAATTTCTTTTTTTTATATTTAATATTCTGTAATACAACCCATGCTGCTGGCCACAGCAGCCAAGAATAGGAAGCTGAGCATGGAAATGGCATCCTCCCTAGAGCCAGTGTCCTTCAGTCATGGTTCATAGAACTACATTCCACACACATCTTTTGAAGGAAATAATGCAAAAGCTCCTTTCTAAATGGCATATGAATCAAACACCCTCCAAGAGGTTTGTGCACTTGAGGCGAGTCTTTCCTGTCACCCCGGTCTTCAGTCGAAACGCCTCTGACAGCCCACAGCCAAATTTTCCCACATTCACGTCCCCCGCCCCTTAACCCAAGTTTTTTCATAACGTGATGGTCATATCATCTGGATCAAAGAGGTGAAATAATAAAATTTGATTCTCATATCTACATCCATGTCACATAAAAAGAAGAAGACCTAACAGATCTCTTTAAATGAAAAGGATTCATACCACAGCAACGATGGCTTTCCCCTTCTCATCTGGGTCGGGGAGTGGGTAACCATTCTCGCGCAGCTGTTCCTCCGTGAGTAAGTATTTCTTCATTAGTTTGTAGAAGTTTAAACCTGAGAGAAAGGAGGAGTTTTACATCAAATGCTTCATAAACTTATGAATTACAGAGAAGAAATGTCTTGAGGTTGGTGAGGATTAGATGAATATTATATGTTCAAATATCACTGCTGTATTTAAAGTAATTATAGTCACCAACCTGTCAATTTATTAAATAATTATCATCACTACATTATCAATTAATTTATCTTCACCAGCCTACCAAATAAATCTATAGTCAAAAAATAAAAGAAGAGTATAATAAAATAAACCAAAGTTACAATCATAACCAATAATCATCAAATGCAGAAAGGAGACTTAAAACTAACCTTTGAGGCAGTCACTGACATCAACAGTGTTCTTTTTTGGCTTCTCAATACTCCAAGACCCTTTCTGTCCACCCACAGCTAAAACTGAGAAATGTGATAGTCTGACATGGTTGGGGTTGAGGGGATGCTGAGAAGCGGTTCTGGACGGTGCTGGAGAGCTTACTGATGAGGATGGCTTGGTTGAAGTCGAGGGTTCATCAGGCTCTGAACTTTCTCCGACTAGAAGTGAGAGATAATAAATATTATATATATATATATATATATATATATATATATATATATATATATATATATATATATATATATATATATATATATATATATGTATACATAGAGGTATATATGACATAAATATATACACACACACATGTATGTGTATATATATATGTATATATATGATATAAATATATAAACACACACATACACACACACACACACACACACACCTTGACATGCCCTTTTCCATGACAATGTGTGTGTGTGTGTGTGTGTGTGTGTGTGTGTGTGTGTGTGTGTGTGTGTGTGTGTGTGTGTGTGTGTGTGTGAGAGAGAGAGAGAGAGAGAGAGAGAGAGAGAGAGAGAGAGAGAGAGAGAGAGAGAGAGAGAGAGAGAGAGAGAGAGAGAGAGTGAGAGAGAGTGAGAGAGAGTGAGAGAGAGTGAGAGAGAGTGAGAGAGAGTGAGAGAGAGTGAGTGAGAGAGTGAGTGAGTGAGTGAGTGAGAGAGTGAGAGAGTGAGAGAGTGAGAGAGTGAGAGAGGGAGAGAGGGAGAGAGGGAGAGAGGGAAAGAGGGAAAGAGGGAAAGAGGGAAAGAGGGAAAGAGGGAAAGAGGGAGGGAGGGAGGGAGGGGGGAGAGGAGGGAGGGGGGAGAGGAGGGAGGGAGGGAGGGAGGGGGGAGAGGAGGGAGGGAGGGAGGGGGGAGAAGAGGGAGGGAGGGAGGGGGAGAGGGAGAGACAGAGAGAGAGAGAGAGAGACAGAGAGAGAGAGAAACAGAGAGACAGAGAGACAGAGACAGACAGAGAGAAAGAAAGAGAAAGAGAAAGAGAAAGAGAGAGAGTGAGAGAGAAACTTTAGAAAATTTTATAATATGCAGTATCTTATATTACGCAATATCTTACATTGTGGATCACTATCAATAAGTTCTTGAGCTGCTTCTCCAGCTGCCTGTTGAGTCCGCAACCTCTTCAGAGTATTGACAGCTAGATTAAGGTAAACCATGCGTGAAGATGCACGATTGTAACACACTCTTTCTTCTGCCATTGCCTGAAAATATTGCAACTTTCAAAACCTCTCCTCAGATTAAGAAAATTAAAAACATGGATTCCATTTCTGAGCTTGTAACACAAATTTCAGCCATCAATATCATTAATTATATTTATGAAAATATAAAGTATGACCCTGAAACAAAAATTTGTCTCCAAAAATATCCCTTGGGATCTAGACAGTAAAAAAAAAAAAAAAAAATCATATACACTTACTATTCTAAATGCAGTCTTTTCTCCAGTAAATTTAAGGCACTCATCAATAAATGAATTGAGATATCGTTGGCGAATATTCTGGGGCACTTTACTGCCGAATTCTGCTGGAATTACTGGTCGTGACAATGCTTCCTGGAGGGAGTAAAAGATGCAGTTTAACAATTACCTTTACCTGCATAAAATAAGTGAATGCAAATGAGAAGTCTTTAGAAAATCCTAGACATAAATTTTTTTTAAGTTTTAGATCATGAAAATGTATATTTTCCTAAATAAACAATTTCATTCTTTACAAGCATGTGCCTCTATAATGCTTGTAAAAAAATAGAAAATAAAGTTTAAAGATTTGAATTTGAGAAAACTACCTTTTCAATTCTTACTTATCATTTTTTTTCACTTGGGACAAGGACAATCAATAAAGCACTAAACCACAGCAATTTGACACAGAAAAATTACCAACAATGCTTCATGAGAAACTGAGTTAACAACTTACTGCCTGAGGAACATGCGCTGTCCTTCTACTGCCCTTTGCAACTGTATGTGCAATGGTCTGTGGAAGATTCCCAGAGGCTTTGGCCACACTTGGGGAGAGAAGAGCCCTTGTGTTTGTGGGTGGCAGATTCTTGATTTTTTCCCGTGCGTGTAACAGCGACGACACATTTGGCACATGAGATATGCGTCGCTTTGACCCACCTACAACAGCAGTAATAATATTAGCTTGTAAATAATTATTTTACAATGCACCTATAGTCCTATCATCATAATGAAACATCTATATCATCTATAGTATCATGAAATGATGAAGTGGAAAAAAAATCCTAATATAAAGAAAAAAATACATGTTTGATGGAGTGAAGCCAATCTTTAATTCTGTCATTAGCACTTTGTATAATAAAAACATATAAAGTTTATAAACTTATTGCCATCAAAATGTATATTGTATTTTGATTCAACTATAAACACAGTAAAAAATGAATTACAAAAAAAAAAAAATAATAATAATAATTAAAAAAAAAAAAAAAAAAAAAAAAAAAAAAAAAAAAAAAAAAAAAAAAAAAAAAAAATCTTCCTAAATTGCACACTTGAAAAAAATTACACAATACAGATTCAAGTGAAGTGTTGTAGTAATTATCATTACTTTACTTTTGAGAAATTATACTTTAATATCTAAGCACTAATTCACTTGTACCTCACCTGTAGACTATGTTCAGTTATCTTTGTCTTTGTGCAAGCTTAAGTTTTATACACATATACTCAAAGGACACATGTGATCACAGTGGAAAACAATTGTGACAGCAGGTGTTCTGCACTTGAGTTGCCAAGTAACAATAAAGACTCACAAATATGTGCAAGGAGTGACATGGCAGAAAAACAATGCTTAGTAACAATAACTATATAATTTCTGATTATTCAACCAATGGTCTCTGAATAACTTGTGTACAAAAATAACTATGGTGCGATCAACTACAATATACAATTTTTTTTATATAATACTTTTATCTGAAACATCAAGTCACAATTAACCCAGTAACCTTAACATTTTCTCAGATGCATTTGTTTAGATAACAATAGAATGGGGCTGTCAAATGCAAATTATGTCAAAAGAAAAAAGGCTGGAGAAATAAAAAAGGAGGAAGACAAATATAAATGAGGAGGCAGAAAGAGACACAAGAAAGAAAAAGGAGGAGAGACAAAAGGAAGAGGAGGAAGCACAAGGAGACAGGAGAGAAGCATAAGGTAAAGCTAAAGAAAGAAAAGTAAGAAGCCTAACAAGAAGAGGAGGAAGAGGAGGAGGAATATGAAGCACAAATGGAAAAAAAGGAAGCAGAGGAAGAGTAAAAACTAAAGGAAATGAAGGAAGAGTAATAATAATAAGAGGAGGGGGAGGAGGGGGAGGAGCAAGTGGGCAAAGCGGAGGGGGGGAGAAGGAGGAAGGGGTAGGGAAGGGGGAGGAGGAAAGGGGGGGGAGATAAGGGGGGAGGAGGAAAGGGGGGGGAGAGGGAGGGGGAGGAGGAAAGGGGGGGGAGAGGGAGGGGGAGGGGAGGGGGAGGGGGGGGAGGAGGAGGAGGAGGAGGCAGAGGTGATGGTTGTGGAGGAGGAGGAAGCAGAGGTGGTGGTGGAAGAGGAAGAGGAAGAGGAGAAAAAGGAGGGGCAGAGGTTGAGGAACTAGTAGAGGTTAAGGGGGAGGGGGAGGAGGAAGAGGAGGGGAGAAGAAGGAGGAAGAGGAGGGGAGAAGAAGGAGGAGGACGAGGAGAGAGATGATGATGATGATGATGATGATGATGAGGATGATGATGATGATAATGATGATGATAACGATGATGATGAGGATGATGAGGAGGAGGAAGAGAAGGAGGGGGTAGGAGGGGGTAGGAGGGGGTAGAGGTGGAGGAGGGGGAGAGGAGGAGGAGGAGGAGGAGGAGGAGGAGGAGGAGGGAGGAGGAGAAGTAAGAGGAGGAAGAGGGGGAAGAAGGGGAGGGGAGGGGGAGGAGGAGGAGGAGGGAGGAGGAGAAGTAAGAGGAGGAAGAGGGGGAAGAAGGGGAGGGGAGGGGGGGGAGGAGGAGGAGGAGGAGGAGGAGGAGGAGGAGGAGGAGGAGTAGGAGTAGGAAGAAGAAGGAGGAGGAGGAGGAGGAGGAGGAGGAGGAGGAGGAGGAGGAGGAGGAGGGGGAGGGGGAGGAGGAGGTGGAGGGAAAGGAGGAAGGTGATCTGGAGGTGGAGATAGGGGTTATAGTAATGATGATGATGAGGGAGAATAGGAAGTAGAAGATATAGAAGAAAAGGAAGATATACAGGAGAAGCAGTATAAACACAGGAAGAAGAGGAGAAGAAGAGGAGAAGGAGGAGGATAAAGAAAATGTTAAAACAGACTATAAAAGGAGGAGAAAGTGAAGCAATAATTACCTGAAGTTGAGATTGGAGGTGATTTGACAGTTGTTGATGATGATGCTGGGAAAGTTGAAGGTCTGGAGGAGGTAGTTGATGATACTGCAGAGGAAGATGATGACCGGCCACGATTTTGCTCATCAATTTGTTGCTTCTGTTTCTTCAGCTGCTTCATCAACTCTGCCTGCTGTTCCTTCAGTTTCTGATATCTTTCCATCATCACCTGAAAATGAGGATATGATATTTCTCTTTACCCTAAAGAAAATTAATGAGAGACAATGTGAACAATATGTAGCAAGACCGGATGGCAGATTCACACCTCGGTCCAAGCAAATGCCTTTCTCCTTGCGCAGGTCGCAGGTGCTGGCCTCCTTTCTCTTTTCACACAGGAATAAACATCCGCCCTCCAAGGAAACTGCCGCATAAAAGGGCACGTGCCTAAGACACAGAGGGACAGAAGGAGACACGGCAGAAAGGCCAAGTGACACAGGGTCCAGCTCCACCACCTCGTCCTCCACCCGGGGACACGGGGGTCTCTTGGGGGTCTATCTTCAGAAATAAACCAGCAAGTTAAGACCCCTTTCATTGACCGCCAAAGACTATCTCTGTTATGCTTACATCTAGTGGCTTGCGTGGTCACTTACGCTTACATCTGATGGCAGCGGTGATCAAGAACCTCACAACGCCTAACTCTTACCTCCTCGCCGACGCCGATCCATACTATCTGCCTACAAGCTACTCCTGTCGAAGTGCCTCCTCGCCTACTTTAACGCCCAGCCATCGCTACCAAGTCTTCTTCGCACCATGTCTACCCTACTACTTAGTGCTGACTACTCATGTCTGTGCTACCCTCCTGACGAAGTCGCTGACGATATGTTCCCGCACTCTATGCCGCCACAAATCCAGCTCATCTACCTCACCACGTCTTCACGAACCTTCGTCAGCACAACCATGGAGCCGCCATTCTACTCAGCACCACCAATACTTCCTAGCTACTATTAAAAGTAAGTGTGCCTATTAGTGCCAGATTAACTATTGCCCTCCCTATACCCACCCACACCTTATATACAAGTTGCCTTCTTTCAAGTTCAAGTACATGCCACTCAACGAACACAAACTACTAACTATATAATACATAACTTCTCGCTGTAAACCATTGTTTTTTCAACACAACAAGCGAAGTCACACACGGAGATCAAACCTAAGTGACACCCACCCACACCTCCCACTTCATTCCCCATCCCTAACCATACTTTAATTGCTATGGTATTCTTCTGTTATTGTATTTTATCTAATGTTTATTATTGTTGTTCTCACATTGCAGTTCATTATATTTTATTTTCTCTTAGGACAAATAACTATGTATTGATATGTTTGATTTTCCCCGTTATGTTATTCATATTCACTGCTACGATTTTCGTTGTGATATTATTGTTTTCACCTGCATACTGTACCCTATTAGTAAGTAATTCGTTATTACTTCCTCTATGAATGTGCGTATATCGTTCTGTCTTTCACAACACCTGTATTTTCATATACTTCCCATGCTAATCGTTCGCTTTTTCGCACATAGGTTTAAGATACACATAGGTTTAAGATACATGTCGATTACCTGCCTTAGGCCCAAACCCACCTACCTGCCCACCCTACACGGATTTCACTCTAGGATTATGAATTTTACTAAGTGTCATCCCTAAGACTTTTAACTAAATCCAAATCGCTTTCATGACACCCTCTCGAAGTTCGATATCTTATCATCGTCTATGCTAGAATTTATGCTTCTTTAGTTTAAGGAATTGGTGAATATGTAACTTGTATCAGACTGATGGTAGGTTGTCTCTTGCAAATTATCATAACGATGATAATGCATTACAGGACACCATACTTCATATAGGCTTACACAATAATTATCACCGCAAGTTAATTTTAAGCCCGGCTCATGGACGTAACGAAAGAATCCTGCGCCCGCCGCACCGAGATATTACTTACGCTCATACGATTGAAGCGCCCGAAACGCGCACGCCCGGCTCAAAGCCGTAAACGAATGAATCCTGCGCCCGCCGCACCGCGATGTTATTTACTCTCATACGATTGAAGCGCCCAGACGCGCACGCCCGGCTCCAGGCCGTAAACCAGTGGTCTTCATTGCGCGGCTCGCGAGCCAGTGACGGCTCGCCAAGACCTGAGTGGCGGCTCGCAAAACACAGAGAGAGAGAGAGAGAGAGAGAGAGAGAGAGAGAGAGAGAGAGAGAGAGAGAGAGAGAGAGAGAGAGAGAGAGAGAGAGAGAGAGAGAGAGAGAGAGAGAGAGAGAAATGACGCTCCTTCCGCACAGGAACTGTACGTGTAGGCTTACGTAAAATCCAGTGCTCGGCGACCCATACTTTGCCAGTATCAAAAATATGTAAAAAATATGTAATTTAGTTTCTGTATATATTTTGTTCTGCTAATACTAATCCTTGTAGCTTACGAGGCATGTGGCTCTCAATCTGAATATGCCCTGAACTTCTGGCTCTCTTGAAAAAATTAGTGAATAACACTGCCGTAAACGAATGAATCCTGCGCCCGCTGCACCGCGATGTTATTTACTCTCATACGATTGAAGCGCCCCAGACGCGCACGCCCGGCTCAAGGCCGTAAACGAATGAATCCTGCGCCGCCGCATCGAGATGTTACTTACGTTCATACGATTGAAGCGCCCCAGACGCGCACGCCCGGCTCATGGCCGTAAACGAAGGAATCCTGCGCCCGCCGCACACTTATGCTCGTACGATTGAAGCGCCGAGACGCGCACTGTTAGAATTAAGTTCAGGCCCAGCAGCCCATATGTTCGATGCATATATACTTGCCTATTTAGCCCAAAGATATGGAATTCTTGTCCAATTATTTTTTCTCTCTTCGGTATGATGGTACTCTACAGAACTCCAAGAACAAATCCAAGTAATTAACACCCACTTACTTGACACGTTTACCCTTCTCATAACAAATTGCTCTTATTATGCCCTCATTTTTTTTTCTTGCAACTTAGTAAGGTGATTGATAAACATATTATTATCCTCCTCCTTAGCCCTTTTACTGGCCTGGTACACTTATATTTCAGCTTCTGAAGATGAGACAACTCTACTGGCAACGAAACATAGAGAAGTTGGTGCTGGGGGGAGGGCTAAAGCCCCTCCCACCCAGCAAGAACGGCAGGCTGTGGGTCCCTCTGGGTTGGCGACCGCTGGGACTCGGGTGGGGAGGGGGGGTTACCCATCATCCCATCTGGGTCCCAGCGGCCGCCAGCCTGGCGTGATGCTTGTGGGGGAAAGCCCCCGGGAGCCCTGCAGGTGGATTAGGGGACCTGCAGCCAGCCAACCTCTGTATGAGGCGGCGTCGGTGGGGGTGGCAGAGGATGGCGCCCACCCGGAGTGACTGCCAGAGGGTAGACCTCAGGCGGGCTATCAGGGTGGGGGCTTGGAATGTCCGTTCCCTGCGACAGGATGATCGGTTACCACTACTGTCGAGGGAATTGAAACGGCTGAGAGTTAAGGTGGTTGCTCTCTCAGAGGTGAGAAGACCTGGCAGTGGCACGATTAGTGTGGGTGGCTACACTTATTACTGGTCGGGCCGCAGCGATGGCCACCATCTCCAGGGAGTAGCCATAGCCATCTCCAGCCGACTTCAACCCTCGGTAGTAGAGGTCACTCCAGTCGATGAGCGTATAATGGTATTGAGACTGAAGCTGTCATTTGGCTTCATGTCTCTTATTGCTGTGTATGCTCCTACGGATGTATATAAACTTGAGGTGAAAGAGATGTTCTACGCCAAACTTGCATCTGTGGCAGACAGTTGTCCTCGGCGAGATATTCGTATTGTTCTGGGCGACTTCACTACGGTATCTGGATGTGATCGAGCTGGCTACAAGATGTCTGTCGATCCCCATGCCTCAGGAGCTGATGCTGGCAGCGAGAATAGCCTCCTTTTCCGTGACTTTGCTAGGTCCCAGAAATTGAGGATCTCTGGCTCCTCGTATCAGTGTTCTGACCCGCATCGCTGGACTTGGTACAGCGATACGGGTAGGGTGGCCAAGGAGATCGACCACATCCTCGTTAGCACTCGGTGGAGGATCCTCCAGAACTGTAGGGTGTATCGGAGCGCCGAGTTCTGTGGAACTGATCATAGACTAGTTGTGGCTACTCTCCGGGTCCACTTTAGAACCCCCCGTCGACCAAATAAACACCCCAGGGTGTTTCATCTGGACAGACTGAGGGAGGATGAGTGTGCCCGGGGGTTTGCTGAGGCTATCTCTGGTCGTCTTACAGCACTCGAGGGCTTGACAGACCCTGTTGTTATGTGGGATTCCTTCAAGCGTGAAACGCTTGATGCAGCTCAGGAATCCATTGGTGTACGCCCAAGAGCAAGACAGAATTCCATCTCGCAGGAGACACTGGAAGCCACAGAAGCTTGTCGTGCGGCTCGATTGTCAGGGGATCGCAATTTGCACCGTTCTCTGGCGCACAGGACTAGGTCACTGCTGAGAAGGGATAAGGAACAGTTTATCAGTAATATTGCAGAGGAGGTTGAAAGCCATTTCTTAGTAAATGACCTTCGTCCTGCCTACCAAGCTCTGAGAAAGCTGAACTCCAAGCCCTCCTCACAGACGACTGGCAGTCCCGTCAGCAAGTGGCCAGGTAATCTCAGATCCTGATGGGGTGCGTGTGCGTTGGGCTGAGTATTTTGAGCAGCTGTATCAGGTTGATCCACCAACAGTTAACTTGGATGCTGATATGTTGAGACTCCTCTGCCAGACCCACCCATCAGCGAGGATCCACCCACCCTGACTGAAGTCAAGGGGTCGATCTCCAAGCTGAAGAGTAGTAAAGCAGCAGGTGTCTGTGGCATCCCAGCTGAATTGTTAAAGGCTGGTGGAGAACTTATGGCAAGGGGCTTGATCCAGGATTTTGGGGGCCTACTAGGAGACCCTGTGCAGTCGGTACGTGCTTGCGGTGAAAACATCGAAGTCACAAGGAGTTTTATATACCTCAGTAGTGCAGTTCATGACTCTGGGCTGTCAGACCAGGATGTCAGTAGACGGATTGGCCTGGCAGCAGGGGTCATGAAATCTCTCGACAAGAGTATTTGGAGATGCCGGTACCTGTGCAGAAGGACCAAGCTACGAGTTTTCAAGGCCCTGATACTGCCAGTTTTACTATATGGTAGTGAAACTTTGATGCTATCTTGTGCCTTGGAATCTCGTCTCGATGCCTTTTGTAACAGATCCTTGCGCCCGATCATGGGGTACAGTTGGCGGGACCGTGTGTCCAACCAACAGCTACACCGTGAGACCGGTACAAGACCTGTTACTTGCACAATCCGTGATCGCCAACTCAGGCTATATGGCCACTTGGCTCGATTCCCGCAGGATGATCCTACCCATCAGGTTGTCTCTGTTCGAGACAACCCTGGGTGGAGGAGGCCTGTGGGACGACCGAGAAGGTCGTGGCTTGGGCAGATCGATCAAACCTGTCGTGAGGAACTAGAGATGGGCCGGGCCCCTGCCTGGCGGCTCGCCATCGCCAACTCAGGCTATATGGCCACTTGGCTCGATTCCCGCAGGATGATCCTACCCATCAGGTTGTCTCTGTTCGAGACAACCCTGGGTAGAGGAGGCCTGTGGGACGACTGAGAAGGTCGTGGCGTGGGCAGATCGATCAAACCTGTCGTGAGGAACTACAGATGGGCCGGGCCCCTGCCTGGCGGCTCGCCATGAGAGACCCTCGCAGGTGGAAGCGAAGGGTGGACGCGGATATGCGCCCCTACCGGCGTTAGCTCCCCGATGATGATGAAGATGATTGACCCTCCTCGCTACTGAATGTTGCACCTCAGTGCGAAACCTGCGCCACACCTGCTACCCTTGCACGCGACGACCCTAGCGACCATCGGATCACCAGGAACCATCTGTAGATACCGAACAGAACCTGTATCCCTATGTGCTACTGCAGTGTTCAAGCGTTGCAGACGGCTCGAGGACGAGCCGTTCGCGCGGCCGAGCGATGTGAACAATACGTAGCAAGACCGGATGGCAGATTCACACCTCGGTCCAAGCAAATGCCTTTCTCCTTGCGCAGGATGCAGGTGCTGCCCTCCTTTCTCTTTTCACACACGAATAAATATTCGCCATCCAAGGAAACCGCTGCATAAAAGGGCACGTGCCTAAGACACAAAGGGACAGAAGGAGACACAGCAGACAGGCCAAGCTCCACCACCTCGTCCTCCACCTGGGGACACGGGGGTCTCTTGGGGGTCTTATATCTATCTTCAGAAATAAACCAGCAAGTTAAGACCCCTTTCATTGACCGCCCAAGACTATCTCTGTTATGCTTACATCTAGTGGCTTGCGTGGTTACTTACGCTTACAGACAATAATACATTATACAAAAGACATGATCCATAAGATTAGGCAGTGAATGTCATGGGCAGTTATGTCTCCTCAACCACTGCTCACCTGAGCTGGTGTCATTCTGCGAGGCCCCTTCTCTGGTTTCTTGGCAACTAAATTTCCTGTTGATGAACGTGCAACACGTTGCTTTCCTTGATGGGACTCTGGTTCTTCTTTTGGTACTACTTTTGTCTGTAAAAATAAGAGATAGTGTGAAAACAAACAACAACATAAAGATATTGTGAACCTAAGCTCATAAATTAATGATGCAGAGATCCTACGTGAATTTCTCTTAACCTAATGGCCACAGACAGCATGAATTCATGTCATGTCCACTGTGATTTTAGCTTGTTAATTGTGTTTACAAAGAGATGGCCTAAAAATGCCTAGTTACAAAGGGATCAATCATTTTTGATTTTACTGTTTTTTAGTCCTTCCTAGCTAATATGTTTACCCTGAAAAATACATCTCGGTGTTTTCAGTTTCTTATGTATATATATTTCCACTAACCTTTTTAGATGACATCTGGGGCTGAGAATCTTCAGGCTGGTATTCATTGAACATCCTCATGCATTCCTCCATTATAGCTGGATCATCCTTATCTAAGTCATCTAGATCATAATCCTCATCATTCTCATCCAGATTCTGGGAAAAGATAAGGACTTTAATGGCATAGTACTTAGTTCAACTGATGATCATACAAATTTTAAAGTTCTACCAATTCTTAAAAATCAGAGACTGCATTACAAATCCACACTTTGTCGTACCTCTAAATGCTGCAAATCATATCTATCACTGGAATTAATCATTTGCTCCCAATCATCCTGTGGGATCTCATCTAGTGCAGAAAGGTCTGGTAGTGGGGAATCATTTCCATCTGTGAAGAAATGTCTGACTCAATACTTATTCTAAAATCACTGCATAATATGGTACTGACTTTGCATAAAAAAGAAGACTAATTTAAATATAGAAAACCAAAAAAAAAATATATAAAAGAATTCTAATTCAAATGCAGAAAACAAAAACACATCTCCATTTGAAACATTACGGAAAAAAATTAAATGATAATTACCATTACAAGAATCTCTTTCACAAATCCCATTTGATGCTTCATTTTCTGTGGAATATCTTTTACTTCTGGAAGATTCTTTGATTTTTCCATCAGCTTTACTGCTACTGCTTCCACTGTTGCTGTGTTCTTTATCTTTGCTATGACTTCCACTGCTGTGTTTTCTGCTGCTGCTGCTGCTCTTTTGACTCTTTGAACTACTGCTATGTTTGCTGCTATGATGTTTAGCATTTCCACTTGAGTGACTGCTAGAAGTTACACCTGATTTTTCTTTGGTTTTGCTGGAATGAGTCTCCTTACTGCTGCTAGTACTGCTACTCACAGTAGTATTACTATGTTTACTAGAATTACTACTGCTTTTGTGCTTGCTGGAAGAACTACTGTGATGACTACTGGAACTTTTATGACTACTACTCTTTTCTTTACTACTGCTAGAAGAATGCTTTCTCTTGGACTCATTTTTGTTATCTTTGCGAGAACTGGAACTGGATGAACGATCTACTGACTTCTCAGTTTTAGAACCTTGGCCTGATTTACCTTTTGAAGAAGTGTCACTCTTCTGATTAAGTGAATCATCATTCAAAAAAGGCTCTGTACTATCAATGTCATCTCCAGTTGAGTCTTCACTGCTGTCCTTCCCAGCGGCTGCCACAGCATCGAAAATAGAGATTTCCTTCAGAACTTTTGGCTTTTGTACCTGTTGAGTGCTGGCAATCACCATATCAAACATAGACATGACTTTACCCTGAGAATCCTGAGCAGAGTTTTCTTTCTTGCAAGAATCATCACTTACTCTTCTTTTTATTCCTTGTTTACTGCTTCCTGAGATGCTTTCATTTTCTGACTTTTTAGATTCTGTGCTTTGACGCCTCTGTGAGAAACCTTTGTCAGACATGCTATCTGTACTACTTTTTCTATCTTGCCTACTCTTCTTGTGCTCTCTGTCTGAGCCCTGTTTAGCTTTCTCACTTTCCTTGGAAGCAATGTCACTACTAGGCTTTGAATGTGAACTTCTCTCCTGTTTAGTGCTCGAGTCACCTGAACTTCTTTTCTCACCATGACTTTCAGTCTCTTCTTTTTTGCCAGAGACAGAAGAAGTCTGTTCCAAGTCTTTCTCAATTTTCACAATTGACAGATCAGGAACTGTGGGATCCTTTTCAATTTTTATTTTGCTTGGATCAACTGGCATTGGTACTGACAATGGCTGGGTTTTATCCTTGGTATTTCCTTGGCTATCACTTGTAGAGTTTCTTCGTTTTATGCTGTCCTCACTTTCCCTTCTACTACCTATCTTCTGATTATCTTTATTTTTTCTCTTACCAGGGCTTTGGCTTTGGCTTCTGCTGCGACTCCTGTCACGGCTTTCACTGCGACTTCTGCTGTGGCTTCTACTTCTACTTCTACTTCGGCTCTCACTAGAGCTCCTGCTTGAACTTCGACTACTACTGTGGCTTCGGTTCCTCTTCTTCTTGCTTTTGCTTCTCCTTCTCTTGTACTTATATTTCTTATGATGCTTTCCTCTTTTCTTGTGTTTCTTATGTTTTTTAACCTTATCTAATTCTTCATCCTGGCTGTCCTCTCTACTAGCATCACTCTTCTCATCTGCACTATCTTCTTCATCTCTGTTGGAGTCCTTACTGTCTTCATCATCTGAGTCACCTCTACTATTACGATGTTTTCTTTTCTTTTTACTGTGGCTGTATTTCCTGCGCCGTTTGTGACTTTTCTTTTTCTTTCTTCTGTGGTAAGAATGTTCAGAATCTGAGCTGCTTGACCGATCTCTCTTCCTCTTCCTCCTGTGTCTTCCCCGTCTGTGTTCAGAGTCGCTACTCTCATCATCTTTGGCTGAAACACCTCCCTTGTTTTCCTTATTTCGCTTTTCGTCTTTCTCAGGATCGTCTTCCTCGTCTTCTGAATCAAGATCTGGATCTTCACTTTCACTTTCACTCTTTCTCTCCTTCTTCTCTGACTGAGAATCCTTGGTTTCTGTTTCCTTATCTGGTAATTTCTTTTGTTCTTCTTTTGAGTTCTCTCCCTGAACAGCATTTTTCGTCTTTTGCTTCTCACTATTGGTAGTGGTGTTTACTTCAAGCTTCTCTTGTGATGAATTTTCACTTGGAGGTGGTTGACTTTCCACTTTATTTGATGACAAATTTGATAAACTTAGAATTTCCTTATCTAAATCAACTTTATACTTTTTAACAATTTTTGAAGTTTCTACTCTCTGTTGAGTCTTTTTGGAATCTTCCTTTGAGTCAGCTGTTTGCTGGGAATCTTCCCCATCCATTAACTGTAGTATTTCTTCTAACGGATCACCTGTGTCTTTTACTTCTGGTACTGTGCTCCGAACCTGCGGAGTCCAGCTTCTAATATTGCGTCTAGATATTTTTGGGGCACTGAGTGTATGGACAACTTGGGGAAGTAAAGAATGGCCTTTGCTTTTATTCTTTACTTCATCTTTACTTGGCTGTTCTTTTGGCTTCACACTTACTTCACTTTTCTGTATTGGATTGTTGACTTTTACTGGATTTATCTCTTTTTCCTCTTTCTCCTTCATTTCCTTCTCTTCTTTTCCAGGTACATTTTCACTGGTTTTGCAATTTTCACTATCAGTCTTAGATGTAGTATACACAGTGCTATTAAACATTCCAAATCCATCTGAAGATGAAGTAAAAACTGGAGATGGGGGCAAAAAATAAGATCCTTCTGCCATGTCCTGACTTTCAGTTGAATTTTTCTTTGATGTATCACAGCTACTACTGTCAAGATTTGACATACATTGTGCATCTGAAATCACAGTTGAATTTTTACTGGTTTTCTCTGCAATGCTTAAATTATACTGAAGCTTACCAAGAGCCCTTACTCTCTTTTTCTTCACTTTAATCTTATTATTCTGTGAGTGTTCCGCAAGCACCTCTTCGAGGATATCAAAATCATCTCTCTTTTTATCACCCTCACCATCATCAGAAGAGAAATCTGTAGCTTCACTGTCTACAGAACTTTTGGTATTAACTTCTCCTTCCAAAACGTCTGAAATAACACTACTGGCTGACATATTAGATGGGACATACTTCATAACCTTGGATGGTGTCGCTTCCTTATCACTGCCTTCTACAGACCTCTTGCGCTTATTGAGTTCCTCTATGGGTGTGGGGTTATAACTAGGAGTGTCTGGCGGACGGAGGTACAGTTTCTTCTTTGTCTTGGTTTGGGTAATCTCAGCTGAGGCCTGAGCAATCAGTGCTGATGTATCAATTTTCTTCATCACAGATGAAGGATCAACTCCCGCTGCAGCCAGAAGGGGGTTTTCTGACAGGGCTTTCTTGACGGCATCACTTACGAGTTGTTGCAGCAGCTCTGACTGGTTGCCTGAATTTGCTTCAGACGTTTCAGTGTCACTTGCCTCTTCTGCATTCTCTCCCTTCTTGGGAGCTGAGGTCTCTGATTTGCTACATGTTGGTAAATCTGAAAGCAATTAAATGTTATAATTATAATCATATAAACATATATGCATACATACATATGCACGCATGCACACAAATACACACACAAATACACACACACACACACACACACACACACACACACACACACACACACACACACACACACACACACACACACACACACACACTTGATATAAGTTTCATATTCAAACATAAATAAAAACAAAATCTTTCTTCATCCTCTTTTGTCTTCCATTTACTTTCTCTCTCTTCCCATTCCCATCTACACTTTCATTCTCTTCCTCAATCCTTCAGCCTATCAACTAATTTACTTTAAACCTTTCTCAAAGAATAGAAAAAAAAGAAACAAAAAAAAACAGAAAATCCAACTAAAAACAAATTAAAAGGAAGTATCAAACCTTCAGATGCAGGTGTTTCAGTAGCTATTTTGGGCTGAGAGACATCATTAATAGCTTGTCTATCATCTGCATTTTCCGAGTTGGAAGTTATACTTTGCAACTGATTTGTGTTGGTTTCTGCAAACAAGGTTATAAAAAGAATAAAAAAAAATCATGAAACAAAACTATAAAAACCAAGCATCATTCAAAAACATAAGCAGAAGAGCATGAAATAATAGTAAATCATGGTATACTGAAGACATACTTTCTACGTAACTAAATTGGTTATGTTTCTTCCCTAGAAAACAAAAATAATATTCTATGAAAAATAAATAAGCAATAAAAACACATATATAAAAATCATGTTCATCTTTTCCTATCATGACTCTGGACAATGCTGGGAATAGAGCTGCATTTAGTGATTAAAGACACTGGGCAGGTTTTGGAATTTTTAGGAGAAAATACTTGGTATAAGAAAGCTGGGAAAATTCATAAAAGAAGAAGAAAAACAAAAACTAACAAGCTAAAATGATGGTACTAAATGAAACAGAAAATTTGTAATGACTTGAATCTGTGTTGCCTGCATAATTAATAATACAACATACAATGTAAATTTTATAGTGAATAACATTTTTGAAAAAAAAAAAAAAAACATTGAAAGTTATTCAGAAATCTATAATATCTGCAGTTATACAGTGATGAAATAACTTGTAGTAACCCGGGTAATGGTAGCTTTAATAAATTAATCATATCCTGGAACAACTGAGCTGGTTTCTCATCTCATGATAAATCAATGTAAAAACTGTACAGAGTGGTAGTCATAATGGTCATAATTTTATTTCTTGAAGTGTGTCATAGAAGAAAAATGTCTTCAGTGATCTATCACATCCATGTAAATTTAGCTTTTAAAAATTCAGTGATACAACAGTTCCATGTAAACTTAACCTACAATATTCTCAGGTATCCAGTGTGCAAGATGAACCGAAGTTTGGACACAAAATGACAAAACAAAAACAGCTCTTATCAAAATGAAAAACATGGAGAGAGAGAGAGCAAAAGAGAGGAAGAAATTAAACTGAATAGACAGATCTACATTTTCAGGAAAAGCTTCATTTCAACAGTAATTGGAACTTCCCATATTATTCAATAAGTCAAATCTTTATAAATATCCTTCGTTGAGACTGACAATGAGTCTCTTCTCTTACTATATTCCTCACATCATGTTCTGAGTTGCATAGTTTGTTTACACTGACTTAAAAGTGATAAGTGAAGAAGAGAACTTAGTCTCCAAGCAATGAATTTAAGGACTTTTATTCTTAAAATGACATAATCATGTCTTTCTGCACTTTAAATGACTTTCTTGATTGGATTACATATAAATCCTCCATTTCAGTAGCATTTCCTGTCTGTTTACTAAAATTACATTTCCTCTACATTAACCAAAGGATGTTGTATATGTAATATATACAAAATTTTTGTTACACCTCCACTGACCTTCATCTTCACTGATGAACAACTGACTGCTGCATTTATGTCATAGTTGAGAAGAACTTGCTTGAATAAGAGCAATCTTTCAAAAAAGAACAGTTTCTATACAAAATGCTCTCCTATAGATAATAATCAATGAAAACTATCCTTAAATCAATAGGACAATTAAATGCTAGGATAATTTTATTTTTCTTATTGTTTGGGTCTTCATAAGTCAGTTTGAAGCGAATTGCTGCATCACAAAATTATGTATTTGCTATTTTGGGTGTGGCACATAACTTAGATTCATGATTCACTCAGGAGGTTTATTGTCAAGTAAACAACCAATATAAGTTTTATCCTGGAGAAAATGTTGAGTCATTTGTTGGCATTTTTAACAACGTGCAGTTAAATACAGAAGCAATCGCAATCACTGCACATACATTATACCATGTGGATGAGTAATTGGAAAACAATTGCATATTCTTCTAATTTATTTCGCTTTTCAGAAATATATTATGAATCCCACCCAACACAAAAATACTGACTTCCCCAGGGCTTCCAAGCCTGTTGGATGGAGAAGAGCAGGTTTCTACCGCAGAAAATAAATGCCCACAACAAAAATAGGTACTGGATTCATATACCTTACACCTATATACACACATAATTATGAATCTTGGTTGTAAAAGGCATATGTGATATACTCAAAAAAAAGAAAAAGAAGAAGAAAGATATGTGGAGACCTGTGCTTTCATTTCCGGTGTCATAATAAGAGCTAATCAAAGACATGTATATATAATTGCAAATTCTCTGTTGTGGGGAAGGAGAAAACTCAGTGACTCCAACGTCCGGAAACACGGGCTCGCACAGCTTCATGGTCCCGTGGTAAGTGAAGAAGATCACGAGAGCCCTTTTCCTAGCCCTTGCTTAAGAGCCCTTTTCCTAGCCCTTGCTTAAGAGCCCTTTTCCTAGCCCTTGCTGAAGAGCCCTTTTCCTAGCCCTTGCTTAAGAGCCCTTTTCCTAGCCCTTGCCTAAGAGCCCTTATCCTAGCCCTTGCTGAAGAGTCCTTTTCCTTGCCCTTGCCTAAGAGCCCTTTTCCTAGCCCTTGCTGAAGAGCCCTTTTCCTAGCCCTTGCCTAAGAGCCCTTTTCCTAGCCCTTGCTGAAGAGCCCTTTTCCTAGCCCTTCCTGAAGAGTCCTTTTCCTAGCCCTTGCCTAAGAGCCCTTTTCCTAGCCCTTGCTGAAGAGCCCTTTTCCTAGCCCTTGCTGAAGAGCCCTTTTCCTAGCCCTTGTCTAAGAGCCCTTTTCCTAGCCCTTGCTGAAGAGCCCTTTTCCTACCCCTTGCTGAAGAGCCCTTTTCCTACCCCTTGCTTAAAAGCTCTTTTCCTTGCCCTTGCCTAAGAGCCCTTTTCCTACCCCTTGCTGAAGAGCCCTTTTCCTGACCTCTCCTAGGGTGGTGGTGGAAGTGGCAGAAAGGCCGAGGACATCGACCTTTCTCGTAGTCTGGGCAGGAGACGCCCCGGAAATATCCTGACGTGGGCAGCATGTCTCCTGTCTCTCCTCAAATGCCAGTGCTGTAAGGGCGAGCGTCGACTACTTCATGCTGTATGAAGGCAAAAAAAACAAGATCGCGATGCTGTTCTTGATCCTGTGTGTTTTGGTGTTGT